GGTTTTAAACTAAAAGAGGGTAGATTTAGACTAGATATAAGGAAGAAATTTTTGGCACAGGTTGCCCAGAGAGGTGGTAGATGCCCCATCCCTGGAAACATTCAAGGTCAGGCTGGACGGGGCTCTGAGCAACCTGATTGAGTTGAAGATGTCCCTAGGGGGGTTGGACTAGGTGACCATTAAAGGTCCCAACCCAAACCATTTTATGATTCTATATATCCATGGGATCTGCCTTGTATTTTCAAAACTCCTAAGCTAGTACATTCCATAATCAAAGCACAAATACTACGAACTAGAAGCAAAGAACTTCTCAGATAAAGGGTCTTAAAGACAGACTACATGAATCAGTTATTCTGTTGAACAAGCAGTTTCAGCTTTCATCTCAAAAGGGGTTTACTTGTGTGGTTGTTCTCGCAGGACTCAATATTTTGACTATAAAGCGATGAAAGGCTTTCTAATACTAAAATCCTTTTAGAACACAGGTCAAGTTAATAATTAATATTTCAATGTTTCAGCAAAGAAAAATCAATGGGCTTAAGATTCCAAAAGGCAAAAAATTGTCACTAACAATTTTAAACTGAGCAGAAGCATAAGGAAATATGACAGGGCGGATGAAAGGCATACAGAAGCTACAATATCACGAATATAACTGCATTCACAGTAACTTTATGACACTAACAGGGTGTTGGTTTCTCCTGAAATCATGCTTTTGTCTCTACAATCCAAATAATACTAGTCACTCTTGTCCAGAAAGTCCTCATGGAATTAAAAACAGAATCTCAAATTCAGAGGAACTTTAGCTTAGGTATCTTAATGCATATCTGATACAGGAGCTCCTCCTTACTACAAGATCATAATTGCTGCTTAGTGGAAAATAATTACTAATTTAAAGCAAGATTTAAGACAAGAGGCTTTGTATGCCAGAAGCTCCTAACCTCTCCCAAGAATGTGCATGGCAATACGCACTCATTACTCCAGACTTCAGAGGCTTCCACAGTAAAAGGAAAAAAAAGCAGGAAAAAAACCCTTAAAAGAGCAATCAGATTTATCCTTGAAAGAAGGAGATGAGAATCACTGAATTTAGTTTCTGGGCAGTCTAGGTTTATAGCATTAAACCACCCTCTTTTCAATGGTGGTACGGTGGAAGCTGTAAAACCTAGAGCACAGACCATGACAAACTCATGTAAAAGAATTTAACCTTAGCCGGTTTTTATAGAGTTTTTCTCCTTGTTCTGCCTGTTTCTGCAGCTGAATCTCTTTTTCTTGAAGCTGTTGCTGCCGCAATAGCTGTCCTCGCAGTCTTTGCTGGTGTAGTGATTCCTGATGTTCGCGTAGCTGATTGGCTTCCTCTGCTCTTTGGGCTGCAAGATGTTGCTGCTCTAGTTGTTGTTCATAAGCTGGCTTATGTCTTTTTGTTACAGCTTTTGTTGATGTTATCTGTCAAAGAAACATGTTAGTCATAGATTAATCATAATTTTAATCATCAGAAACAGGCATGCAGAAACCTGTCAAGAGGGAAAAACATGCAGATGCTACATGCAATAGGCAAAATTACAGCAAAGTTATTTTAAGTTTTGTCTCTGATTAAATTTTAATCATTTTTTTGAACACAGACTGGAAGTGTTGGGGTGTTTGTGGAGGACATGAGGAAGGAAGAGGAGATAATGGGCTGGGGGAAGCCATGCTTTTCTTACACGTCAATAATAATAACCCCCCTCAACATACTACCAGTAGAAGGACATTTTGATGGCTGACAAGACAGCAAATATATTTCCATTGATTTAACTGGTAATTTCAGTAGGGGTTGCTTTGAGCCTTAAATGAGACACTGCACATTTTTTACAGTCAGCAGTAACTTAAATGAACTCCAGCTTCACAGCTTAACCTATTGCTGCTGTTCTAATCCACTGCACCTCTTCAACAATGGCTTCTCATCACACTGGACTTGAACAATTAATCTGCTAGGAAAATAAGTGTTTACAAAGCCTAAGGTGAGATCAGTGAAATATATTTTCCACTGGAGATCTGATCTAGAATGTAAATCCAGGATTTGCTGGTTCTATTTAGAGCTGCATAGAGCAAGACTTGCCACTGCTGCACGCTGATTTCCCCTGGCTATTTTAGTCATGTTCATCTTGCAGTTAAAATTTCCTGTCAAACGACAGCAAACATTTATTCAGAAACGTGATTACAGCAGGAAGGTATATCTGACAAGGAAACACATTGCAATTTGCTGAAATGCATCAAATTAGTAAGGCAGGACAGCTCTCCATCAAAGTGCTAAAGAGAAGTCTTGTTCTCATCAGCTATCTTCCCATCAGCTCCCACAGGCCTCAAATTTTAAGTAGGAGCCGGGATTCAATCCGACTGCTCTTTTTTTCCATCTGTTGCTTTTTATCAGCAGAATTCAAGTCCATGAAGCTGCATTTGGCCAGCACTGCAGTACATGTGTGCTGAAGTTTAGCCTGAATCCTATGCATCCCAGTGCTTTGAATCCCAAATTTTCTAGAAATAATGACAATAATTTTATCCAAAAAACCACTGAGTGCTCTGAATGCCAAACTTTCTATAAATATGACACTGATTTTACCTAGAAATAAGCAAGTGTAATACGAGGCCATCAACGATAAGAGATGCCTCCATTTAAACAGTAAATCTAATCAATTAGCAAAAAAGAGCTCCATACCTCTGAATGAAGGTGATCGCCCAACATGTTGGTTTCTTCTTCTTTCTGTTCCTGTTTTTTCCATTCGTGCTCTTCTGGTACTTGATCCTGTTCCTCCTCTAAGTGCTCAGGCTGACCTGCCTGCTCCATTTCTTCCTCTTCAAGTTCTTTCTTGCGTTCCTCTTCAACTTGATCAACACGTTGCTCGTCATCCTCTCCAGCTTCTTGTTGCTCCTGAATATTTAGTTCTTTGGCATGCTGGCCCTCATTAGCCCTTCTTTGCAGATGAAAAGGCTCAGCTCTGTCTTCTTTTTCCTGGGTATTTATTTCTTCTCTCTCTTTTGGTTTCTCATTCTGCAAAACATACACAAGATTATGTGTGCACAAGGTATTACGGAATTCATATTTTCAGGAGAGCAAAGGATCAGATATGGATGCCTTTATTCCAGCCTGCAGTAGTGAAGCTGTTGTCAGGAGAGCCAAATGCCTGCTTTGGAACAAGCTACCCCTCCTGCCAAACGCTATCCATACCTGATTCTTGGCTCTGCACAGCTACGCAAGGCGTTGTACAATTGCATCATAAAACAGGTTTTATCTGAAGTGGAACAAAAACCTCTTACAATTCTGTATCTACAAAGGAAGCTTTGTATTTTTATTTCCTGTTGGTTCTGCTGGCCAAGAACTCTTGTAAAATAAAACCACAACTGATTTTGTAACTTCTAGACTTTACCCACAGCTTTGCTTTTTTCCTTTTTGAACATCGGATACTGTGCCAATTTGAAATATACTGACTTTAACTGTGCCACTGAAACTTTATAAAACATGTGAAAAGACAGTTTCTTCAGAACTTGTTAAAGCTTTTCTGCAACACATGAGATATCTAAAATTTTAGAGACTGCTTATGATTCAAAAAATTAAGCTTTTTAGCAACTTCTTAGAACAGCTTACATAAACCAGTTGTAAATGCATTTACAGTCATGTGAGAAAAGGTCATCCGGAATATATTTCTCTACTACTCAATAAGATTAAACTGTTCCTTATTACTTCACTCAAGAACTGACAAATGTGTACAATTAAACACAGGCTTCTAACAGCCGTTAAGCGCATAGCTAGTATTTTGCTGAATAAGAACCATTTCCTATAGCGTCTGTAGCCAGTACTTTGTACCTCCTTAGGCTCTTCAGCCTCAGCTTCACGGTGCACTGGGAGGTCACTGCGAGGAGATGGTGCTCGCACCTCTGGTTGCTCATTTGGTCGTTCTAACTTCTCAGGCTGTCGGAAACTTGGCATTTTGTTGAGTGTGTCCTTCAACTGTTTGTATTCCTCCACCTGGGACTAAAGTCAACAAATTAATTATAGTGTGTCCAAATCAATTTCTTAACAAAATGTAGTCACCTCAGAGTAAACTTGCTGGCAAGACACATGGTAGAAAGACTCGATATTCACATTAGAGCAAATACCAGGGAAGAGAAGGGACAGAAGCTTTTAAAATTGGTTGTTTCCACACAACTAGATAACACTGATTCGTCACGATCTTTTCAGCCAAAGTGCACATGCATACAAATTATATTAGAAAAATCTCTGTGGGACAAAGACAAAGATTTGTTTTATTCATGCCAAGCAGAATTGTCAAATCGGGAAGATGCAGTTTTCCTGGCAGACTAAAGCGAAGGAAATAGAGAGCACCACAACTTCTCCTTTACTGGTAGAAAGTAGTGCAGTTCTTTCAGAAACAGTAGCTTTAAAGTATACATACACGTCACGAAAATGCCAAATCCTCAACATTTAGACAGGTGTTACACAAGACAACAGCCAACATACAGAACTGAGGCAAAGTAAGTTATAGTACACCATTGGTGAAGAGCAAGGAAAAAAAGAAGAAAAAGAAGACGACAGAAAATGTAAATTTCTACACTCTTCCTGAAATGCAACAGTAAAATGTTGTATTTTGATTTGCTGTTAAACTTTGTATAAGATCAGGATACTTTCAAAAAGCTTTGAAGTCCAGTATGAGAATCTAGACTGGTTGGTACACCAGTCTCTGTCTATACAGCAGACATACAAAAAAGATTATCTCGTAAAGTAAAATTTGAGATGAATAGTATTTATAAAAGCTGACCAGCTGCGCATATACAAAAGGTGGTGCCCTACGAGAGGGCTTCTCTGTTGCTCCAGTGGAGGTGGTGGGTGCGTTTACTACCCATTTTGAAGTCAGAGGCGCATTCATAATCCTTTTGAAAATTCAGGTTAAAAACTGGCTGCAATTTCCACTAGGTGACCATGTATGTCGTTTTGTGTGTTATGTGGTATCATAGCAATCAATAGTACAGCAGACAGGCACGATGCATCGATGTACAATGCATAATACTCATACAAAACAATATCCACAGTGCTACAGATTGACATGATGCAATGCATAACAGCTCCGAAGCTAGACGCACCTCGAAGCATCTTCAAAAGACTATGGCATCCATTAAAACAGACAGGCCTAAAAGCAAAGCAGAATGCACAGTAATTACTCTTGTCATTCCAGAGGGATACTTCTGCTTCCTGATTAACTGCTGGAGAGTCCAACATGAAATTTTAGAGGAAAAAATAGTATTTAACATAAGACGCAGGTCTCTGGTGGTTTTTTTTATTCCTCCCATTCACTGACCATGCAGAGAGACTAATATACTAGGATATTTAAACAGTGCACGTCCAGATCAGAATTCAAGTACTCCGTTCTGCTCCACGAGTCACCAAGCTGAACATTGTGATTCAAGGCCATAGCTTAAAAGGTATTAATACTGGCAGAAAGACAGGGTTTATGAAAAATATATAATTAATCTGTCTGGCTGTTTGAGCTATGGAAAAGTACAAAGATTACAATGCCTTAAAGATTCAGGTCACAAATTCATTACTGCAGTATTGACTACTGATATTTAATGTCTAGAATACAGTTAGAAATAGAGGGGTCATTTATCGAGCTGTGTTTCTGAGCAGTAATCCCTCGTGAATTTTCTGTAGCTGGTTTGCAGGAGAAACTATGCAACCGTGCTAAATACCTTCTGTTCTGAAAGAATGTGCAAGGCCCTTCTCCTGAAGGAAAGGTTCTCCATATGATAACTGCCACATTCTGACTGCAGAGAGAAAGGCTTTGTGTGACACAGGTTTTCTAATTAAAGAACTGAATGAAAGCCAGCAGGAGGATATGGAGCTTCCCTTTGGATTTGGTGAACTTTAAATCAGACCCTGCATTTGCCCTTGCGGAATTTCAGATGTTAGCAAATACATACCAAGTAGCTAAGGTGGTCAGTGCTAGAAGAGCTTAAAATTAGCTGCCAGCATATTTTAGTACTGGAAATTAAGATTCTTCATATATTTAGTCTATGAGGAACTTTCCTAGTTTTTTTTTTTTGAGTATCTACACATATTGACATGCACAACAAGCAGAACTGGGGAGAAAAAAAAAAAAAGATTCAATGCTTTTAATGCTGCTAATGATTTTGTGGACTGTGAAAATACTTAAATGAAGAAAATTAGTCAGGAATAAAAATAACTTCACACTGCCTCATTGCCTTTCCCTCTGATCTTTCACCAACAGTCTTCCTCTGCTCCAACATTACTCCTACTTTCAGATTCCCTGTGGCTTACACAGCTTGTACCGGCACAGCTGACTGAATTTACAATAGTCTAGCAAAGTTTGTGCTTCATGGATAGTTCACTTGCAAATGACATTTAAGGAAGGTAATGCTGCTGGTTCTTTTTAACTTATTTGAGTTCCACCTGGATTTTGCACTCCTCCATGTATACTCTACCTCTGTTGCCCTGATGTACATAGCCTTATAAACCTTCCAGTCATACACAAAAAGAGACTTTATGGTATACCAGCATCTTTATCAGTGATACATGTGAATGTCAGTGTGGGATGTTAAACTAATAGAAGTTCTATCAGAGAAGACAGAGAAAGGGAGGTATTTGACAGCTCTCATGGAAGCAGAGATACTCTTCTAATCAGTAATACATGCATTCTTGGGCCTATAATACAGCTTTTTATTTTCCAACAGCCCTATGATTTGTGGCAGCTTCTTCTCAAGAGCAACCCTTTAACTCATGCATTTCCCTGCAGTGTGCAGCATGGTGCTAACTGCAAACTCCCCATGCGAAAGGCTCCATGCATAACATTACAGTCGGCTGAACTAGGAGAAACAAGTTTTAGGAAGGTGAGAGCTGGTAGAAGCTGCTTTCCTTTCTGACCTGTGCAGCAGCTAGCGCACTCTTGTGGTCTTCCAATGTCACTACAAGCTGGTTGTGTTGGGAGAGTAAGTTCTTATGCTGTTGCTACACAAAAAGAAGAACATGACATGTTTCACAAAGTTCATTCTAAAGGTAAATTAGGTAGCCTGGGGCATTTTGAACTAGGAGGATAATTCAATTTATTTTGAAACAAAAATCCCGAGTTGGAATGACAGCATTTAACATGGAATGCATATTAAACAGACACAGAAAGCGAGCACGCCAGGAAAGAAAATTTGGAGGCCAGGGTTTGCGTAACTAAAATAAAGTTAAAAGTTGGAGCAGATGTTGATGAACATTTTAAAAAAATAGAGAGCTGGAAAACATTCATTCCAGCAAACTTAGTATGCCAAAACATAATTCTTAACTTGCAAAATCAAATTTCCAATTCTGATTTCTATACTAACTACTTCT